TATCACGCAAGCAATATTGCCCAATTTGCAAACCTTACGTCTACCTCGATAAGTCTTCGTTTCAAATTTAATTCAATTCAGTGAGCTGTTCATAAAGATTCTTTCACGAGCGTTGCAAAATAATTGAAGGATAAAAATCACAATAGCCTCTAGTTTGTACGAAAATATGTTCGGATATTTGTCCTTGGACATTGTCCCTCGAAGTTCACAGTTTTGGCATCTTGGAATAGATAATGTCCGCGGACAAATATCCACAATTATTTTCGTGCCAAATTGGAGCAATAGTATATAGAGCGCTGTATGGTGAACAAAATTCAGTAGAGGGAAGCATAGTACTATTTAGGGGTTCATATTGTTGTGATGCACTGCACAGTTACTTCATTTTACGGATTTACAGTGCTACTCAGGGGTATAATGTTGTATTGTGCTGTATAATTTTAAAAGATGAAATAAAGGGATTTATTGTTTTTTTAGAGGGCACGGTAACGAATCCTGCAATCTGATTGGTTCTTTACCCGGTCAGTATTTTCCTATCTCTGCCCACGGGCCACGGTAACGCTTTCGTGAGTCGCCGAGTACATCCCAACTTTCGTTGTCATTTTTCATGAATATACCTCGTTTTCCAGCTGGGCAGTATTTTTAAGCAAACACGTCGGTCACTACCTCAAGCCGATAAATAACTTATGAATCCTCTCTTTTCTCTCTATCAAATCTTTGGTTGACAGAAAAAGTTTGGTTTCAGAATGAATTTGAATAAACAATAGTGTCATTACGTTGGTTGACAAGCGGCCTAAAAACTGTCTGCAATTAATTTTAATCGTTCACAAAAAGTACCCAGAAAGTTGAAACGTGAGGTATTTGGTTACAGTTAAACTGAACGATGGAACTTTCATTCATTTAATATCTGAATTTTCTCGAGCAATTTGTTCGTAGTGAAAGAGCGAGCGAAGTTTTAATTTAAGTTCTACAACAAATATACGCTCCCGGTGAGTCTTTCCAATTCCGTTCAATTTAGACATTTGTACCGTAAATTGCACAACAGAAATTGAAGGAATTTTTGGAGTAAAGGCCGCATTAAATTCCCTTGTGTCTCGTTGGAGTGTGCCGTTCGAATTTATTTTTGTGAAGGAAATACCAGAGTCACACACGCCATTGCAGCAAACAAACGAGCAAACTCTCACAACTTCAAAATAAAAAAAATTGAATTTACTCACAATTACTTTCCTCGCCATTTACTTAATGAACAGAGGTAAATCTTCGTACATGAATGAATGGTCGATGAGAGTGAATAATACTTTCCGTTAGATCACTGACTGATTTTGAAGAAGACATTGTCGTGACAGCCCTTGCCAAACTAGTTCTGATGTTTTTCAAATGTTCCTACGCTTTTTTTTTCTTGCGCGCTCTCTAATTGACAGGTGTCAGATTGTGGCAGATACTTGTAAAAATAATGTTTCAAAGTTTGTTTGGAAGCCTTTTAAATCATCTTTATCGTTACGGAAATGAAAATGTTTCGCTGAGGCATCTCTCTTTAATTTGCATCACCGCTATTTTAACTACCATTTACTCACTCAAAAATTGTTCAGTTTATGGAAGATCTTGCCATATTTACTGCCCTAAATCATTCGGGTTCTTTCGGAAAGAATTTCGTCAAGTTTAAAAAACAATAAATATGTTATTTACCGGCTAAGGGTCGGTCCGTATGGTGAAAAACTGTGACCTCGGTCTTGAAAATGCTGCCCTCGGCCTACGGCCTCGGGCAGTATTTTCAAGACCTCGGTCACAGTTTTTCACCATACGGACCTCCCAGCCGGCAAATAACATATATGTATAGTGCTATTTAGGGGAAGAGGAGAGGGGCATATAGGCGTACGTATTCGAGGAGTTTGTTCTACAACGTAAGGAGACATGGAGTCCAATAATCGACGGAACGTGTTTGCTCCTAATGAATCTCTCGGGCTGTTATCGACTACCTCTTAGGAAGCATTACAATAACTTAACCTTTCTTGATTATTATCTTGTCAAAACACTTTTTCAAGGTCCTCTCTGCGTCTACATCCAAGATGACGGCTACCGACTCGGAGAAGTCTGTGGATTGGCCTGCTGCCATCTTGGACTCGCGATGTAGGTGGACCCTGGGCCAGAGTTTGATCCATTCCCAATCAGATGATAGAAGAAGCCTTAATTTGGACACTGAAGGACTCGTTTCCAACAAAATGCATCGATTATGTCGTAGAGACTTGGAGGGAGCTCTTTTGTTTTATAGCTGCTACTGTGATGAGAGGACCGAGGAGAGCAAACATTGGCAAGTGAGACTTAAAATTGAGACCCCGTGTGGACTGGGAATGAGTCGAAAGGAAAACTAAGATTTTACTAGAAATGATGCTAAGAGGACACCATCCTAAAACGAACAAAATAAGCATAATAACAACTACTCTGTGGAAGTAAGGAGGTATATGAGTTGTAAGAGACCTGACGTTGCGCGAGGATTGAGACGAATGAAAACTGAAACAGACAAGGAGATAGTCGCGTCTAATGAAGCGCGTAGAAGAATAAAGTTGAGGGCGATGAAAGAAGTGCGCGTAAAAATGGGAATAAAGGAAAAGTACGACGAAAAAGAGGGAAGGAACAAATGGAAGGAGAAAAAAGAGATGCACAAATGTGAAAAGGTGTAAAAAGGTAAAAAGGGCGCACACAGGTAACAGTATGAACACGTTCGTCGGCATTCAAAATCATGTGACAATATGGAGAACGGTAGGCATTGAAAGAGACACAATCGAAGAGTCGACGAGCGTTTGTTAAGTGGGTGGGGGCTTGAAACATGGAATGTCAGTACACTGTCAGCTGCAAAGATTATCAACTTGGCGCGCGCGGGTCAAAATAAGCATTGAAGTCCCCGTAGGATCTGTTCTCCCTGCATCTCATGCGAATCCTTAGAATATGGAGACAGACAATAAAAACAAACGCAGTTTTTGTATTTTATACACTCTCTATTTCTCTTACACAAAAAAGTTAAAAAAAGTACAATACAAACTGCATTAAATTGTTCAAGGCATTAACTAAAGTAGGCGCTAAACGGAGACACTAAAATGAACCCATTTATTCCCAAGATTGATCATAACTTAAATTCTCCTCACAAAATTAATGCACCGACAAACATGGTGTCAATAAGAATTAGAGAAAATCTAAACTAGCGGATTATTTTTCACTACAAACGTTATGTTTCATCGAATTCTCAGAATGAAGCAACAAAGAAACACATTCTTATCAGTTGAGAGAATTTTTCTTCACAACTTGGGAGTTAATGAGTTAATGAATAAAAACTAAGGTAAATGAAAAAATAGCTTCAACTTTTAATACAAATAGCATCAAAACAATTCACACCAAATACACTGACATTATAAAAAGAATGTTTAGTCGAAATTGTCCTAGCTTGTTTTTAAAATCCTACGTTACATCATATTCAACCATGTGCAAGGTTAACTATTACATTTTATACTGGCAGCATATACCAATGGTAGTTATGAAAATCTGTCAAAAATTAACATTGATTTTACAAAAAATTCTTTTAAAACAGCTGTGATACAGTACACCTTAAACTTTTGACCACATAACGGGTTCTAATTGCAAAGCGTGCTCTGAATACCCAAGTATAAAATCTTAAATCTAAGAAAGATATCATCAGACATCTCCAAATTATACTAAGGTAAATTTAAAGCCATGAAAAAAATTTGAACAGCAAATTTTCAAAAAAATGCAAGTTTTATCCTGAAGCCCTGAACCATTTTTACTACGGCCTAGATTTACATTTATTCATGAACACTTTCACCAAAATAATTCCCGTTGAGGACTACATGGCTTACCTCAAGTGTTTCCCTAATTTATTGGCGTAAATATTTTCCTAATGAAAACAACAAATTCCATGTCACCTACATTAAAAGTCACAGCAATGGAAACTTCAGTTAAAGTAAACTCTGCTTCGCTATTTCCTTGTTTACATTACACGGACAATTTGTCTCTGTCGTCGTTCTCTAAAACAAACTGATGAATGTTTGATAAAACGGACTAAATTTGATCAAACTCGTTTGATTGAAAGCAGGCCGTTGTAGCCAGCTCTTTGACTTGTTGTAGGCCTTTTTCCTGAGAAATTTCAATTTTTGTTTCAACATTTGTAAGAGTCATATTAGAAAAGTCAAGCGGGCGGAAACAATTGTAGGCCGGGCCCACGGGACTAGAGGCTGGCCGCACCCCTGAGAGTAGGTCTAATGTCTCTAACATATGGTCAGTAAATTCAACAACATCATCTCTGATGATTACTTCTTCAAATTAAGCTTAGAATGGCAATCTTGGCACTGATGGAATTAGATTGCATTAACATGGATTGAAAAAAAAATGAAAATGATAATCAATTTTTTTGTAAAAATAATTGCAAATTGCAACAAAATAATTTATGACGTAGAAAAACCATTAAGATCAATTCACATATGGCTGCGAAGTTTGCAAATCACATTTTTGAAATTAAAATTTCACCACCTTTTGCAAATGACAAACTGTTTCTTTGCTTATCAAAAGCTTAGAGTATCAACGCAATTAAAACCCGGTGGACAAGCTCCTGGTTGTGTACAAGAAAAGAAACTTTTAAATTATTTTACATATAACTGATTGCAATAAAGGAATAGATCTGAGTGTCATTTTGGCGAAACGAAAACCTCGTAGTCGCCTTCAACAACTTCAGGCATTAACAGCAGAAGCCTTGTTGCATCTTGTTCTCTTCGCAAGCATCTAAATTTGTAAAGGTAAAAAAATAGCAATTCCACTGAACAAAATAGAACTGGAATAGTCTGTTTTATTTCTTCACCAAAGTAAAGTCACACATCTCAAGTTCCATTTAACAAAAATGTGAAAAGTAATAAAAAATAGCCAAAAAGCGCCAAAATGGAGAAGCATTTAAACCTTCCAAGTTCCTGCGTCATTCATTTTGAGATGAAATAAAAAATTTTTCATTTATGTAACTTCATATTCAAATTTTCTCTTTCCTTTGCCTTAAAGTCAAGAGTGACGTCATCTCCAATCAGCAAAAAGGGCGCCCAGTGTTTGATGTCGCAGAACTTGTCTGATTCTCTGAGGCTTTTCATGGCCAGGTTCAGTGACTCGCTTGCTGGTTTACCTCCTGCAAGTTGTTGATAAAAGTATTTCATGAACTCAAGAGTAGCCTCGTCATCAATCGCCCACAGGGACACCACAATAGACCGAGCACCAGCCCCCATAAAAGCGCGCGCAATGCCAACCACACCTTCAGCCTTGATCTCGCCCCGGCCGCTGTGGCAGCAACTAAGCACAACAAGTTTGGCCCGAAGTTGAGCATTCAACACATCTCCAATTGTTAAAATGTAATCCTCCTCCGTTGGCACAGTAGATATTCGGTCTGGGTCAGGTGTAAGAGCAATTTCGCCAGTTTCCATACTTCCGTGTGCCGCAAAGTGAACTAGGGAAACGGAACTAAGTCTTTTCAACACCTCACGTTTCGTGGCCTGACTACCAGTGATCGGCGTGATATTCAGAATTTTTCCGATCATTTCTACTTCTTTTTTAGCATACTGAAGCTGCTCGAAGACTTTCTTTCCCTCGCTGTTAGTAACCTCGGATACCCACGGATCTCCTACAAGTAACGCACCACTGCTTTTGTGATAATCATCTGGGCAATCGGCAATGAGTCTAAGACTTGCTAACGATGGAGCGACTCGGATTGTGAACGATTCACACAGGTATTTAGAATTACCATCCTTCAATGCAGCGTAAGGAGCGATCCACAGGGGTCCATCAGGAATAATGAGTAGCTCATCCCCTTCAATCAAGTCAGCCACCGGCTTCATAACGATATCATACAAAGTGCTCAAGCATCCGTCTTGTTGGATGTGAGGTCGAGCCTTGGCTTCTTTGGTTTTCTCATCCACTTTTGAACGGCCCTCCCTCAAAGCATCTAGAGATCGGTTCTCGCATCTCACATTAGAACGAACACCAAGTTGTGTATAGACACCGAGCATGAACGACTCAAAGGACAGGCTAGATCCACTATTCTCTGAAACAAAACCTTTGAGTTTACTTTGTCTTAAGTGAACTTGTTTTCCTTCGGATACAACCCAAAGATTGACGTTAGCTTTGTCCACTGCCTGAAAGACAGTGTTTGATGGAACGTTTTTTAAAACTGCGCAATCTTCATCTTCTCCCTTGTGGTGATTTGTTCCACCACAAAAACTGGATTCCATGAGGTCGGTCAGAGCTTGAGCTCGTCCTTTCTCAGCAACAAATAAGGCTTCATCTACATTACCTTGTTCTACGAGAACTCTCCACAAACCCGTATACGCCACTTGATGCTGATTTCGAAAATTAACTTTCCACTCATCTTTAGATATTAGAAGTACTCTCAAGGAATTGAATAAGTTTATGCTAGCTTGGTAATGTTCAACGGCTCTTGGCAGTCTACCTTGTAACTCAAAAACCAATCCTAATGAACTGTAGGCCATTGCCTCCGAGGATTTGTCTCCTACTTCTTTAGCTATTATAAGATGTAGGTTGTGGTACTCTATGGCTTTTTTGAAATCACCCAGACTAAGATAAGCATTGCCAAGATTGCCATAAGCAGCACCCTCCCCAAGCTTGTCTCCTACTTCTTTAGCTATTTTAAGATGTAGGTTGTGGTACTCTATGGCTTTTTTGAAATCACCCAGACTGCGATAAGCATTGCCAAGATTGCCATAAGCACCACCCTCCCCATGCTTGTCTCCTACTTCTTTAGCTTTTTTAAGATTTAAGTTGTAGTACTCTATGGCTTTTTTGAAATCACCCAGACTAAGATAAGCATTGCCAAGATTGCCATAAGCGTTACCCTCCCCATGCTTGTCTCCTACTTCTCTAGCGATTTTAAGAATTAGGTTGTGGTACTCTATGGCTTTTTTGAAATCACCCAGACGGTCATAAGAATTGCCAAGACTGCCATAAGCGTTACCCTCCCCATGCTTGTCTCCTACTTCTTTAGCTATTTTAAGATGTAGGTTGTGGTACTCTATGGCTTTTTTGAAATCACACAGACTAAGATAAGCATTGCCAAGATTGCCATAAGCAGCACCCTCCCCAAGCTTGTCTCCTACTTCTTTAGCTATTTTAAGATGTAGGTTGTGGTACTCTATGGCTTTTTTGAAATCACCCAGACTGCGATAAGGATTGCCAAGATTGCCATAAGCAACACCCTCCCCATGCTTGTCTCCTACTTCTTTAGCTATTTTAAGATGTAGGTTGTGGTACTCTATGGCTTTTTTGAAATCACCCAGACGGTGATAAGCATTGCCAAGATTTCCATAAGCAGCACCCTCCCCATGCTTGTCTCCTACTTCTTTAGCTATTTTAAGATGTAGGTTGTGGTACTCTATGGCTTTTGTGAAATCACCCAGACGGTCATAAGCATTGCCAAGACTGCTATAAGCGTTACCCTCCCCATGCTTGTCTCCTACTTCTTTAGCTATTTTAAGATGTAGATTGTGGTACTCTATGGCTTTTTTCAAATCACCCAGACTGCGATAAGTATTGCCAAGATTGCCATAAGCAGCACCCTCCCCATGCTTGTCTCCTACTTCTTTAGCTATTTTAAGATGTAGGTTGTGGTACTCTATGGCTTTTTTCAAATCACCCAGACTAAGATAAGCATTGCCAAGATTGCCATAAGCAGCACCCTTCCCATGCTTGTCTCCTACTTCTTTAGCGATTTTAAGATGTAGGTTGTTGTACTCTATGGCTATTTTGAAATCACCCAGACTAAGATAAGCATTGCCAAGATTGCCATAAGCGTTACCCTCCCCATGCTTGTCTCCTACTTCTCTAGCGATTTTAAGAATCAGGTTGTGGTACTCTATGGCTTTTTTGAAATCACCCAGACTGTCATAAGCATTGCCAAGATTGCAATAAGCAGCACCCTCCCCATGCTTGTCTCCTACTTCTTTAGCTATTTTAAGATGTAGGTTGTGGTACTCTATGGCTTTTTTGAAATCACCCAGACTAAGATAAGCGTTGCCAAGATTGCCATAAGCAACACCCTCCCCATGCTTGTCTCCTACTTCTTTAGCTATTTTAGGACCTCAGTTGTGGTACTCTATGGCTTTTTTGAAATTACCCAGACTAAGATAAGCATTGCCAAGATTGCCATAAGCAGCACCCTTCCCATGCTTGTCTCCTACTTCTTTAGCAATTTTAAGATGTAGGTTGTTGTACTCTATGGCTATTTTGAAATCACCCAGACTAAGATAAGCATTGCCAAGACTGCCATAAGCGTTACCCTCCCCATGCTTGTCTCCTACTTCTTTAGCTATTTTAAGATGTAGGTTGTGGTACTCTATGGCTTTTTTGAAATCACCCAGACGGTGATAAGCATTGCCAAGATTGCCATAAGCAGCACCCTTCCCATGCTTGTCTCCTACTTCTTTAGTAATTTTAAGATGTAGGTTGTTGTACTCTATGGCTATTTTGAAATCACCCAGACTAAGATAAGCATTGCCAAGACTGCCATAAGCGTTACCCTCCCCATGCTTGTCTCCTACTTCTTTAGCTATTTTAAGATGTAGGTTGTGGTACTCTATGGCTTTTTTGAAATCACCCAGACGGTGATAAGCATTGCCAAGATATCCAGAAGCAGCACCCTCCCCATGCTTGTCTCCTACTTCTTTAGCTATTTTAAGATCTAGGTTGTGGTTCTCTATGGCTTTTTTGAAATCACCCAGACTGTGAGAAGCATTGCCAAGATTGCAATAAGCACCACCCTCCCCATGCTTGTCTCCTACTTCTTTAGCTATTTTAAGATGTAGGTTGTGGTACTCTATGGCTTCTTTTCCCTGATTATAGAGATCTATGACTTTCTTGACATCACCTGAACTTGCACTATCGTGGTCATGACTAATAGGATGTTTTTCCTCCATGGACTTATCTCCCACTTCACTGACAGACTGAAGTCTTAATGACGACAAGATCCTATTGTTTTTGACAATCTTTTTTATGTTAAGGGTTAAAAATGTGGAAAAAACAAAAATACATAAAATAAATACATATCTTTAAATTTTTTATTTGTCCATAGGAAAGCACAACGAAAGTTTCTGAGTCTCCTAAGTAGAGGCAAAAGGTCGAAGGCAGAAAATCTGCATAAGATATGTAAACATTAAAGACGTTTTTGTTCTGGCTTGTTTTAGAGAGATAATCTACCCAAGTACTATGTATAAACTGGATGAATATTAGTCTTCTAACCCTTTAACTCCCGTGAGTGACCAAAAGAGAATTTCTCCTTACAATAGCAATACAATATCAATCAGATAAGTGTTGAGAGTAAAAAAAAATATATCAATTTAAAAATAGTTAGTTGATGCAATACTGAATTCTCTGTACTAGCATTACAAGAATTGTATGGTTGACAGTAAGGATAATTACAAATTTGGTCTGGGAAATTAAAGGGTTATTTAAACTAATGTACCAGTTATTGGCATGGATAGTAGAACTAAGTCAAATTGGCTAAAAGGAGTAATTTCATTAATAAGTCCTGAGGTAATAACTTCTCCTATGTTTTTAATCACACACACTTAAAGTATATGAGCTGACAAGTTCCCATCATAATTAATACCCTTCATTGTATTTTCTCCCTTGAAAGTATATGAGCTGGAAACTTTTTTCCATTATACCCACGGTTAGAAATGAAAGATTCCTTCAAATGATACAGCTAGTCCCTTATCACACCAAGTGATTGCTTCTTCAAATCTCTTCAATTCAATACAAGCAGTGGCTCCTGTAGGCAACAACACAAAGAAGCATACTGTTACTGTAGCTCAATTCTGAGAAAAGAACCTGAAACCATTGAAATCATTACAGACCAGAAGAAAAAAAAAAGACAAAACAAAACAATACAAAAACGGAAAAGAATAAACAGGCCCTATTAGGTTTCAGTTAGATTTATTTCGCTTTACAGACAACTGAAACTTCTAAGAACACTTAAATTGGGATCAACAACTCCCACAAAAACACTAAAAGTTAGGTAAGTCCTCATCCTTCATTTTAAAACAGCTAGATAGTGACTTAAGAGCGCCTCCACGAGAGCACCGGGTAGTCGCACTACATGCCATCTCACCGATTTCAATGAAACTTTGTCAGTTTAAAGGGTCTACCCTCTACCCTAAAACTAAAAAAAAACAGACTGGTTTCTGTTTTGGTTTTTTCCGGGTGGAGATAGACCACCCCCGGTTTTTCTTGGTTTTCACCGAGGAAATCGCTTCAAATTGGTAAAATGTATCAAGCTTTCACTGCGATGGTATTTAACCGATTACTTTGAGAATTTGCACACATATTTTTACATCCCTAGTTAATGGCCGCCGCGAGTATCAGTCAGTTTGATTGACGGCTTGTCAATGAACAGAGGCAAATATACGACTTTGGTTTTAGACTTTTCGATTCATCTAAATATTTGACAACTTTGAGGTCAAATATCTCCCGTTGCCAGAAAGCTACAACACTAATCTTAATTACCCTTTATAACCCATCATTTCATCTCTGAAAATCATCAAAAAAATCTTTGGGCACTACCGTATTTTTGTCTTGGATGCCTTTTAAAATCTGCGACTGTGACAAGTTTCTTTCAACTACACCTGTCACGCAATTCTTGCTCTAGGCGGTCACTTGACTAAATAAACCTACATTTTTTAGCTCTTTATACAAGTTGATTGGTCAAGAAAGGTGAAAAATGTGAAAAAATTTCCAGATTTTTTGTAGGAATGGAAAATTTCACGTTTAGAGAGATGCATGTTGACGGAAGATCAATGGGAAAATCGTAGCGTTTCTTTCTTCAGTCGTTTATTACTTTGAAGATTTGCTAAAATCAGGACATAGGGCTCTTGCACAGAACAAAAAATTCATTAGCCTATACGTTGATCGTCTATTATCATTATCGCACAGTTTACAATAAGGAAACTGTAACAGGAGAGGAGATTTTAAAGTCACATGTCGCCTGCTTGTTGACGTACAAGTTCCCGAGTGTAACAACTTCGGCTTTTCCATACAGCGAATGACGGGAAACTCTGCCCCCCTTATTTGTTAGGAAATATCAATAGCCCCATAAATTCATTAACTACGCCATGTTTCCAGAAAATAAGACTGGAAAATGTTTTTTCCACTTTCCACCATCAAGAAATTCCACGTATAGGAATAGTATTTGTAGGGTCACTGCGTGACCTTTTATGAGAAGTAAAAATTGTTCATCTTTTTTTTCAAGAAGGCACTAGAAAGTTCCTAATCCTTCTGTTATCTTATTTTCCTGTTTTTTGACTACAAATATCATCTGCATTTGCTATTATTTTCGCTGATTGTCATGGCCTTTCCTGCGTGCACGTGCGAGCTAGTTCATATACAGGACTCTTTCGAGTTTCTCTGGCTAGTGTCGGGCTCATGTGTGTAGGTCTGGTTCCAAAGATATCTGCATGCTGCAACACGGGTTCCTATGTTTTCTCCTTGAAAAAAATCCTTGATGAAGTCTACTATTGTCAGACGAAACGCGTGGGTTTTTACTTTCTCAGTTCGTGTAGTGATGCTCGCTAGTTTGTTCCGTGAAAAATGCTTTTAATGTGAAGTCGCGTCGACCTCGACCGACTAAGCTCACCCTGTCATAATCAATGGTTTGATACCGTAAGTACCAATTTAGGTACATCATTGGGCTTTGATCACAATGATGAAAAAAATGTGCGTTTCCTCACGCTCGCCACGTTTATTCTTTGGAAAATTTTTTTTACTGGAGGGCAATGTCGCTTAGCTTAGCGCGTCTTGACTCTGATCGACGAAAATTATCGAGGTGAACTCCATGAAATTCTAGTCAAATGTTTTAAAAACTTTGTCTACCCTTGATTCGCACGCAGAAAAAAAGGCAAATCCCAAACGGTATTTCAAAACACTTTATTCATTAGTCAATTTATGAACTGTTTCATAGCAGCCCGGGGAAAAAGAAAAATTGAAACAACCGGCGTATCGGTCAAATGAATTCCAATTTTTTCGACAAGGAGTTGGTAAGTTCATTTTTCCTAGTAAATTTAAGTGGAGGTCATTTTTTTGTGACAGCCGATCAAAGATAGACATCTCTGAAACGTCTCTGAAACTCTTTTTAAAAAGAACGTACACTTCCGGTAATATTTTCCTCCTTCTAGCACAAGCGCAACAGACATTGTTAATCCTATGTAGTGTAGGTGTATCAGTTGTATTACGTCTTCATAGTGATGCCATATAAGAAATCGAGTGTCTAAAAAGCCCTCAATTCAATCTAACACTCGAACTGATAAAGTCAAGATGGTGCAGTTGTCTTGTTCACTTGCAACTAACTGTACAACCAAATGTTACTTTTCTCGCGCTGGCCAGGGACGGCAACAGCTCATAGCTCTAACTTGTGGGATACAGCTTTAAAAAAAAAACATTTGAGAGACGTCGATGTATCCCAAACATGCGTTTCGTCCGAGATGGAGCTTATTCTAGCGCGTATTGGCTTATTTGGAGACTACGAAGGCCACGATTTCACGATGTACCTCAAATATCGTGCACAACTAGGTGTGAGATTCAGACCTTCGGGTTCGTAAATGCCAGTTTCCTCCTCATAAAAATCGGAGACATAAAGTAAGAGAGAGATGAATCTGTAGATGGCAGAAGAAATTAAAGCTGGTGGCGAGTCTTTCTGGTGGCGGCAAGTTGACTGTAAACCTAAATAGAACGCCTACTGTAGCTGCTATCTTAGAGTCGACAATGAATAAGGAAGAAGGGCAAGAAGAGCGCTTATCTGAACATCAGTTTTCCTAACTGGTGATTTGTGACTGAGATGAACTTTATATCATATGATTGTCAGGGATACGCAGGTACTGTAGAGGCGCTCACATAGATAGAGGTGGGCGATCCTCCCTCTGACTTAAGAACTGCGACAAGTTTATAGCGCAGACCAACTGGCACAGTTTGAAGCACCTCAGGGTCTCACTAGGCTCGTCACATTAGAAAACTTCAGCAAACTAATCGTAGAAGCGGGTGGTTATCAGCAACGTGCACAGATTTCTGAACGCGGGTCATCGCGAGAGCTATACCCAATCCGTCATAGACGGAACAAGAAAGCGAGATATTCTTGCTAAAAGAAGAATGTATCAAGACGTTTCAGTCATTGGCTGCCATCCAAATGTACCCTGACAAAGACAAACACAGTGAGGCCGACAAAAAAAAATTCCGCCTAGGATAAGATCAAGATGAAATGGACTAAGACCAGCTTGCCATTCTATAGGGGATGGCTACGTTCAAGGTCGGACCTCAGGTAAAAATTCTGACGAACAATCCCTAACTAGCCGAGAGGACTTTGGATGGGCTCTTTGGAAAACACAAAAACAGCTACCTTTTCTCAGAAAGCAGAGAATTATCTCCTAAACGTGTGCTGGACAAGGGAGGAAACTAGTAAGGTAACCGCCTCTAATGTGATTTCCAAAATATCGAGTTTAAGAGACGACACCAGCCAGAAATGTTGTCTAAGACTGACCGGTTGATACAGCAGCAAATCGCTCGATACTTCAGCCGGTTATCTGCCGTAACAAAAATTGGTTTTATGATGAGGTCCCCCTCTGTAAAATATGAATAAGGACGGAGAGGCCGCTGCCAATGATCTAGCTTCAGAATTAGAAACTGACCGAACAAGGCAGAAAAAAAGGAGAGACCTTGCAAAATTTAGACGAAGACTACAGGAGAGGGTAAAGCTGATATTAAGCTAAAAAAAAAAAAAAAAAAAGAAGACATATGCATCTCACTTTTCTCTCATATTTATTGTCTTTGCTCACGAAAACAATTGGCTATGTCTTGGGATTTCATCAAGGGAAATTTGCAGGAGGGCTACTCGTCAAATTACCGCTGGCTCAGATTCTTATTTAAAAATTTTACAAGTCACGCAATTAAACGCCGGCAACACTCGATCTAGAGAGATGTAGATTTATGTGTAGTAATAGAATGCTTGAAAAAATATGCAGATATTTTACGATCGAAGCAGGCAAATAATCATAGAGATCTGCAGATTATTCTGAAATTGTTATCTAGCAGACAGCATGAACAACACGCTTGAATAATTCCTACTAAGAGTCTTCGGGTCACACAACAGATGTTAGCTTAGCGGAGTTCTGCATGGAAATGTTCGATGGCGGTAAGTGACAACGACAACACTATTTTAATTTTATTTTCGGGATAGAAGTACAGTTTTTATTCCGATAGAACTATTGATATTTGCTCTCGAGCGAGAGCGCAGAATTTCTCGTCTGTAAAAGCCGAAGTTGTAGCACACTGGAACAATTAGTAATATCAACCAACACGCAGCATGAAATAAAATGAGCAATGATGATGATTAACAATCATATTATAGACTAATGAATGTTTTGTGCCGTACAAAAGCCATATCTGCTGATTTTAGCAAATCTTCAAAGTAATAAACGACTGAAGAAAGAACGCTACGATTTTCCCATTGATTTTTCGTTTACATGCATCTCTCTAAAAGTGAAATTTTCCATTCCTACAAAAAATCTCGAAAGTTTTTCACATTTTTCACCTTTCTTGATCAATCATCTTGTATAAAGAGCTAAAATATGTAGGTTTATTTTGTCAAGAGACCACCTAGAGCAAGAATTGCGTGACAGGTGTAGTTGAAAGAAACTTGTCACATTCGCAGATTTTAAAAGGCATCCAAGACAAAAATACGGTAGTGCCCAAAGATTTTTTTGATGATTTTCAGAGATGAAATGATGGGTTATAAAGG